GGGCATGCTGGAAAGTTGCAAATAAATGGAAGTAGGAGGGGCATTTCCCAAAATGTTCTCAAAACGAAAAAAGTGGGCATGCTGGAAAGTTGCAAATAAATGGAAGTCGGAGGGGCATTTCGGAAAATGTCCTCAAAACGAAAAAGTGGGCATGCTGGAAAGTTGCAAATAAATGGAAGTCGGAGGGGCATTTCCAAAAAAATGTCCTCAAAACGAAAAAGTCTACAGAGTGCACCACTCAACAGTACAGTAGCTGCGTTGAAGGATGCTACAGCTACCGTCTTCCCCCGAATAGAACCCATGGTCATTTTTCGCTGTGTCTGGACTGAAAGTTGCTCCAAATACAGAGCAACTTTAATGCCCCCCCCCCCCTCCGTTCTATGCTGCGTTTAGCTTTTCAATGAGGGACAGATCCACCCTCCCTCTCCACCCAGAGTGAAGATATCGTACTCACCGACGGGGCCAGCTCAGTTGGTACACCCATGAACTGTCCAAGTACAGACGCCGGAAATCGGTGCATTCGATCTACAATAGATATCCTATGTAGCAAAGATTATGTCTTACTCAGAAATTTCTATTTGGGGAAAATAGCTTGACATAGGAAATACTATTGATTGCACATACATCGTTCGAATCCAGATGAGTGACGTACAGCAATTCTGATGAGTGACGTACAGCAATTGAGTGATGTACAGCCATTCTGATGAGTGACGTACAGCCATTCTGATGAGTGACGTACAGCAATTCCGACGAGTGACGTACAGCAATTCTGAATTACCTGGGGCCAGTCAGTTCGTTGATGATATCTCAAGGCTGTCGCCTTTTTTTTTTTTTTTGGTAATTATAAAAGAGAGATCGTTCTCATGAGTCCTTGTCCTCCTCTTCCTCCCCGTCTTCCTCCCCCATCTCCTCCTCTCCCTGTCCCTCTTCCTCCTCCGCTCCCTTTTCCTCCTCCGCTCCCTCTTCCTCCTCCGCTCCCTCTTCTGCTCTTCCTCCTCCTCCTCTCCGTGTCGCTCTTCCTCCTGCGGTCCCTCTTCCTCCTCCTCCTCCTCCTCCTCCTCCTACTTCCTCCTCTTCCTCCTCCTCCTCCTCCCCCTCTTCCTCCTATCCCGGTCCTCTTCCTCCTCCGCTCCGCCTTCCTCCTCCTCCTCCTTCCCCCTCCCCCCTTATCTCCTCCTCTCGGTGTCCATCTTCCTCCTCCGATCCCTCTTCCTCCTCTCCCTCCTCTTCCTCCTCTTCCTTCTCTTCCTCCTCTTCCTTCCTCCTCCTCCTCCTCCCTCTCTTCCTCCTCCTCCCCTTCTTCCTCCTCCTCCTTCCCCGACTTCCTCCTCTCCCTGTCCCTCTTCCTCCTCCGCTCCCTTTTCCTCCTCCGCGATCTCTTCCTCTCCGTGTTCCTGTTCCTCCTCTGCTCCCTCTCCCTCCTCCCCCATCTCCTCTTCTCCCTGTCCCTGTTCCTCCTCTGCTCCCTCTCCCTCCTCCTCCTCCTCCTCCCTCCTCCCTCCGCCCTCCTCCCTCCTCCCTCCTCCTTCCTCCTCCTCTTCCTCCTCTTCCTCCTCGTTGTCCACGACCACCAGGGGCGAGGTCCCACGAGCAAGGAGGATTGGACTAAACGCCTGAATCTGGACACGTGTGTGGAAAGGTGCAGAATATCTGAAAAAATAAAATAAAAAAAATTGGAGGAATCCTTTCCTCCGCTTATAGTTTGGCGTGGTTGACTGGAGACCGAATTTTTTTATTATTCTTTTCCCAGGGTGGAGATCAAATCTTCTACGTAGGCCACGCCTGTTTTTTTTTTTTGTTCCGGGGTGGAGATCTTTTCTTTTTGTAATTAAAAACTATGCTATATTCTTCTCTCAAATCTTTCATCATCTTTCAAATTCATCTTTTTTTTTTTTCTTTTTTTTTTCCCTTTCAAATTCATCTACTACGGAGGCAACGCTTTTTTTTTTTTTTTTTTTTGATAAACCAACTTCTTGTTTCTGTGCCAACGAGACTTCGATAGGTAGTAGTGAATCTCGGACAGGGCAGATCGATGGATCGGGACTCGTCGTGGATGGAGGCTCAGCTTGGGATCGATGGATGAAGGCCTCTAAAATGAAAAAAATAGGCTAGTGAATCTCGGACAGGGCAAAAAAGAAAAATAAAAAATAAAAAAAAATCGGACAGGGCAGATCGATGGATGGAGACTCGTCGTGGATGGAGGCTCAGCTTGGGATCGACGGATGAAGGCCTCTAAAAAAAAAAAAAGGCTAGTGAATCTCGGACAGGGCAGATCGATGGATGGAGACTCGTCGATGGATGGAGGCGACAGGGAAGGCCTCTAAAAAAAAAAATGGCGTCAAGAAGTGATGGGGCGGTGTGGTGGGATGGGACTCGAACTCTTCTCGAAACCTCGGGCAAAGGAGGGAAGGCCTCTAAAAAAAAAAAAAAAAAAAAAAAAAAAGAGGAAAGGGCTCTCGGACAGACTGACCTGGGAGAGGAGGAAGGCTCGCACGACGAAAGACTACCGTCCTGCCGCGAACAGAACGCACGCTCATCGTGACTGTATCAGACCGGAAAATAAGCTTGTACACGGTCATCGTGAGGGGGTGTTGTGTTTGGGGGGAGACGGTAATTAGCCAAGAGAGAGAGGAGAAAAACATGTCAGTGTGACGCAGTGGATGGTTTCCGCGCTACAGAAGAAGCGTCAGGTAGCCCCTTCGGCGTCGTCTCCTGCCTTCAAGTTGGGGTTTCTCTCATCTTATAATCTGGCTTAATTACAGCCTAGTATGCTTGCCCTTCACCTCACGGAAGTGGCTCCCTCTGCAATCACGTCTGTGGCTAGGCCTCAGAATCATTCCCCGTAGCTAGCAGTCCCTTGCCTCTCTCTCTCTCTCTCTCTCTCTCTCTCTCTCTCTCTCTCTCTCTCTCTCTCTC